TACTCTTATTTAGACCAAAAAATGAAGTAGCTTATTAGGATACACTATTGAACCACGACCTTCCATGGATTGCATGCACATCAAGTAAGGCCATAAGCTCATGTGGCACATGCCTCTAGCGGCCATATGACTATATGAAATACAAATACATTTGTGTGAGAGTTTATTCTACTTCTTATACAGTCTTATAGATTTTTTTCAGCACTAATGCTAACACAGTGTCTAGTATGTCAAAGCTAGATCTTTCCTTATATTGGACTCACTAGGGATTTACTTCAAATATCACCGTAAAACAAAATAACTATTAAATGATGATACGTGATACATCATTATAACCCCTTTAGTGAAAATCAGTCAAATACTTCATGATTAAGTCAAAGTCGATGGCATAAATATGAAACTCAACATAATGTGCAGTATCCCAATCGAAACCCTTTCGGTAACAGTAATTAACATCAACATACATCATATGAAAAACATATAGCATGCATGCTTCTAGATTTGATATGTATCGAGTTTCCGCGAATAGTCATTTACCCAACTTAATGTCGAATGAGAATTCAACGGGAACGAGTATGACACCTAAATCACATTAAAGAACCCATACAAATCAATATTGAAACATCATCGCAATCCCAAAGCAACCCTTTAAACCATCTACAAATATCATTAATAACTCACTAATAAATTTTGGGATCAAATACAATTGATAAACTCCAAGATAATTTATTATTTTCAAGATAAATTATCATTTAATTAGGCAACAGAGCCGACCGCGACATTTAATAAATTTAGGCTCTAAAACTTGTTAATTCTGTAAAGTACAACAAATATAATATGTATTGTGTTCATTTCATCTTGTAATAACTTATTAGACAAACTTTCATTCAAATATAACACAAAAAAATAAACTTGTTTCTACTTGAAAACGGTTAATTAGGTCTTCATAAGAGACAAGGTTTTCAATCACGTCTTCATGAGAGAGATTCTCTTTTGGTCGTCCTTTTTTCTAACATTCGTTGAAAACGGGGAGGAGGCATACTAAAGTGTAGAGAAACAATTTAGCAAAACATCTGAATCAAAGACTGAAACAGTGAAATTAAAGTATGTATGTGGACTGTGAAGATGAGAAACAAAATTACTTTCTTAAACATTGAGAAGACAAGTGTCTGATTTTTGAATGTTTGTTGTCTGATTTTTTATTTTGGAGGGTGTTTGGGATTGCTTTTTAGCCTAAAAAGTCATTTTCAACAAAAGACTTTTTGATTTATAGCTTTTTCCAAAAGTAGGTTTTAAAATGTGTTTGGATTAACTTTTAAAAGAAGTAAAGGTCCAAAAACCAAAAGTCACAAATTCTTCACTTTTCAAACCACTTTTTTTTTCTTGCCAAAATCATTCTAAAAGAACTTTTAAAATTGCCAAACACTTTTTCAAACTTTTAGCTTAAAAAAAAGGTTTAGGTCATTTTTGGTCACTTAACTTTTGGTTTTGTGCTAATTTGGTCACTTAACTCTTTTTAAGTTTTAAAAGGTCATCAAACTTTTGGCTTTGTGCTCATTTAGTCACTTAACTTTTAGTTTGGTCACATTTAGTCACCTAACTTTTAAAATTGTGCTCATTTAGTCACTAATTTTTTTCTTTCAAAAGTTTAGTGACTAAATGAGTTCAATTTTAAAAGTTAGGTGACTAAATGAGCACAAATCTAAAAGTTAAGTGACCAAACCAAAAGTTAAGTGACTAAATGAGCACAAAGTCAAAAGTTTGATGACCTTTTAAAAATTAAAAAGAGTTAAGTGACCAAATGAGCACAAAACCAAAAATTAAGTGACCAAAAATGACCTAAACCCAAAAAAAAGCCAAAAATCAAAAAAAACCACTTTTAAAAATAATCCCAAACACCTTCCAAAGGCTAAAACAATATTGGTTGGCGGCTGCAAACAGGGCCGAACCTTGTTTTCTTTCTTTTGATGTGCTATAGTATTTAGTATTTAGAGGGCCCAAATCAGTTTAGTAATGCAAATCCAAGGCCGACGCAGTAAAGTGCCTGAAGACGGAAAAAAAGAGGTCCAGCCGTTTGTTCCTCTAGTCCTCTCGGCTCTCGATGACATCACAAAAATCAATGATGGAAACCGAATCGTTTCGGATCTCAAGAATTAAGACTCACCTTCAAAAACCGTCTTTCAAAATCCGATTCACGTGCGTTCAGAAATTCAAATCGCGAAAATACGACTCTCCTGATTAGAGAGATTGTCAAATCAGTCTTATGGTTGTTCAGAAATCAAAGTCACAAATCATACTCACGTTTCAATTTAAGAAATTGTTTTTGTTTCTCACCTTCGCAGTCGCCAGCCGACATTGCTTCAGCCTTCAAAAACCAGACAACCAACATTCAGAAATCAGCCACTCGCCTTCGCACTATTACAAAAATTGCTTTTGTTTCACCTTCACAAACCTGCTAAATGCTTCATTGTCACTGTTTCACTGAAGTGTTACTCTTTGAGTCTTTCGTATGTTCTTTTGTTGAATTACTTCTCCAATTTTGTTTTGTTTTAGATTTTCTTTCTCAGCAACAGAGAAGGAAATCTACAAATTAGTGTTAACAAGGGAAAAGCAGAAAGTGAATTTAGTCATCTACAAATAAGGTTTTCAATGAATGTTAGAAGGTCAACAAATGTTAGAAGGATTGCCGTTTTCAACAAATGTTAGAATGATGACCGAAAGGGAATCTCTCTTATGAAGTATATACCGTTTTCAAGTAGAAGTAAGTTTATTTTTTGCATTATATTTTGAATGAAAGTTTGTCGCATATTACGAGATGAAATGAACAATATAGATTATACTTTTTGTTATTGCTTCATTAGTCTCAAAAAGCAACTTGCTTTTAATAAAGGGAAAATGACTTATAAGGGTAACTATGTTTCAAAAACGTTCAAAAAAACCATCAAAGTTTGACATGTTTAAAAAAACACCATCCAACTAAAGGCCTTGTATAAAAAACACCATCGAATAATACATTTTGTTCAAATCTAACTGGTGGCAACCGGTTCTTGCAGGTTAAATGCTGACATGGCCTAATACTTGATGACATGGCATAAATATGGGTGACATGGATAAGAGTGGGTGGCATGGCTTTAATTGACGTACTCCTCCTTCATAAATCGAATTAGGGCATCATTCAACATTCATGAACAAATTCTTCTTCTGGTCTCCAGAATTCTTCTTCTCAATTCTCATCTCCTCCTCTGAAAGGAATACCATCGACTTTTTTCCCTTTTCGCCCACTTTGTTCGTATTCAATCAAAGTGGCTCCAACTCCATTTGCTAATAAACTCTTTTCTCAATAATCAACACTCGATTCATCATCTTCAACAACGACATCAACTCAATTTCAACAAACCCAAATCCATTATATCTATTTTTGCAACTGTTAGGGTGATTTCTACATCATCCAACATGGTCAAATGACACCAAACTCCATTTGCTAATAAGGTTTTATGAACTTGGTGGTCTGAGGTATTCCTCTCCTCCTAAAACAGCAACTCGGACAATACGAACCTTTGTTGATGAAAACTCTAGGCCCTGTGCAAAAAGATGAAAAATGACACCAAACTCAGCAACAATCTGGACGTGCATGAAGATAATGTCAAAGTTCATATGAGGGCAAAATGGTCATAATAACTTATAAAAATCTTGAAGGGCATTTTTGTCCGAGTGGAAATGAATATATAGATAAAATGGCTTATTGAACCAGTTCACTTACAAAGCTAATTCCCCTGAGCCCAATCACATATTCGGCTAGCAAATATCCTGTCAAAGGGCATTGGAGTAATTTTGTATAGTTATTGACTACAGCTTACTCTTACATCTACTGAAACAGACTCAACCGTGTGGCTATATATTGGCATTACAAGGTATTCAAGATCTTTGTAATGATAAAAACGAGCACGAGGGTATTATCGTAAAAGAGTTGTCTTTCACCTATCTTTCAGTTGATGTATCAAGCAAAAACCAAAACACATATAGAAATCTATATGTCCAGTTTAAACTCTATATCCATTAAGCCTATTAAGTCAAAAGAAAACAACACCTTTTGAACTCTGCTCTTACAAGAGCTTGTCGTTTAACATTGTCAAACGACCTTTTTCATTTGAAAAAAAGTAAATGTGGTATTTAAGTTTGGGAATAAAAGGCTTACATACATACCAAAAGAAAATTTTCTCTATACATACACAACTACTACCAACTACCAACCAACCTTACATAACTTAACCTATTATATAGCATGTCATTCGGTCTTCAGTTGATGTTGATCACTTGATGCAGATGGAACTATCCCATTTTCAAGGTACAAAAACCAATGAGTCACTCACCAATCCAAGTATCCAACATCCACCTCATCAAAGTTTAGTGTCCCTCTCACCATCCATGTCTTGAACACAAACATACATCACTTTATCTTTATTATAATAATAAATAAATTAGACTTCAGTTTACCAAATAAAACATTAATAATTAATTATATTCTTTCTTACCCATTCAAACGATTATTGATGGCAGTGAGGTCCTTGGATGGGCTTTGGTAAGCATGAGTGTTCTCTCCAACACAAACACTTAAATTACCTGAAGTGCTTCGTCCAACTTCATCAAGTACTCCTCTGTTGTGTTTCCACTCTGTTGACAACATAAGAAAGTATAAATCGCATAAGCACAATCTTGAAAGTGTAATGGTGATGTTCTTTCTTCATATGTGTAATGTTGTACTTTTCCCCAACCAACTCTCATTTCCTCTATTAATTCAGTTCCTTTATTAATCATAAACAAATTATTATTGAAAGTTAAGTGTCTGATTGAAGTTTCGTGATCAATAATAGCATCTGTAACATTCTAGGTTGTAAATTGTTTTATCCATGATTGTTGATCAAAGTGTTTGCCCTAATGATGCATGCGATTTCCGATTCAATTAAAGTCGGTTACAAACTAAATCAAAATTCTTACAGGTCATGAAATGGGAGGACGTTGAAATAGGAGAACCAGAAGACATGAGAAATTCAAATGAGAAAGAAAGCCATCAGAGTAAAACTTCATTGATGTTTATTTCCGTCAAAACATCTGCAAAGCAACTTCAATATGGGGACGGTGGTAGTGGTAACAACTGGAGGTCCAGGACTAACCGGCCAGCGAGAGTCGGAGTCTCGGAGATATTGTCGCATTTGTCGCTTTCCCCATGGAAGCATACTTTGAAAAACAGATACTCCCTGCAAAAAAAAGTAGTACTCATCCCTTCTTCCGTTGACCCCATGGAATTTTTCCCCATTAATCCACGCACGAAATAAAAAAATGACATGTCATTTCTTAGTTTTCCTTATTTATTTTTTTAGAGGTAAAAATTTTCATTTAACCTACACATGTCGGTTACCACTGGTTAGATTTGAACAAAATGTATACTTGGTTGGTGTTTTTTATACAAAACCCTTAGTTAGATGGTATTTTTTAACATGCCAAACTTTGATGATGTTTTTTGAACATTTTTAAAACATACTTACTCTTATAAGTCATTTTCCCTTTAATAAATTAAAAACTTAGCAAGACTATTTATTTCTTCTTCTCAACCTTAAATAGTATTTTTAATACGAAAAATAATTTAAATAAAGTCAAAGCAAATACCTTATACCCGGTTTATATCCGCTTTAACATATAACCTAGGGGTGAGCATCGGGCGGATTACACGGTAAATGGGTTAAACGGTTCGGGTTAGTCGGATTGGTGTTTATCACCAAATATAACAGGTTATTCGAGTGCGGGTTAGATGATTTTATTTTCGGTTACCTGAATTCTATAAGCCAAAATCGAATCATCCAAATTTGTAATTTTGTAGCCCTTTTCGATTTAAAGCCCAAAAAAACGTTGATTCGAAGCCCAAAATCCATATATAATATGTCACATAGTACATATATATTATATATATATGGTAAATGTCTTTTTTTTTTCAAATCTCTGAAAGAGATAGAGAGAAGAGAAGGCTCAGGGCATTACTTATTTACTTGTTAGTTGCTAATGTCACAACTTTTGGTGTATTATGCAGTCAAGTGTACAAGATTTTCTGAGTGAGGTATTATTTCCATTTATTAATCCAAATTGAAATTGCTACTTGCCTGTTTCAATCAGACTACAGCTGTTTTGTTATGTCAAGAGCAATAACTTTGTCCCAGGCCTGTTTTAGGGGACCACTCCCTAGAGTCATGTTAGTATTTATATCCTCCTTGAGGTTTTTGTTTAGCAGCTAAGAATTAACTTGTAAAAGAACATGGTTCTTCTTTTGGAGAGTCCATTCCTTACGAATGAATGGGAATTCTATCCTAATTTTCTGGTATTATTGAGTGTTTTGTTGCTGTGAATCTATTAGAATGCCCTGGGGTATACGATAGATTCAACAGGGATCTATCAAATGGTAACAGAGCAATCGCAGTCGGTATTGGAGAAGGAACGGAAAGCAGAAACAGAGTTGGCAAGGTGATGGGAGAAATCCTTCAAGGTCAAGCTGAGATTCTTAAGATGATGAATCAGCTCTTGGAGAAAGTTTGAACTTGCCACTGGAAGTAGAAAAGCTGAAGCTGGAATATCAAAAGAAGAAGAGACTAGATACTCGTCAATGGAGATGCATCATCAGAACAAGATAAAGAGATATGAAGAGAGAGAGGCTGAGATAGCTAAATGGAGAGAGTATTACTGCTCAGAGGAAGGAATGGAGGCTGAGAAAGCTAAGTGGAGGAAGATTTATTACTCTACTTTGAAAGAGAAAGAGAAAGAGAAAGAGGTCCATGAGGAGGAAGAAGAAGTATAATCAGCACTTTCTGAGTCGGAATCGGAATCCGAGTCAACACTGCAGCTCCCACCACCAACGTTGTCGCCGACACAACCAACACCGCCGACGTCTCCACCTCCATTAGCGCCGCCGTCTCCACCACATCCACCGTCCCCTACACCTCTAGAGTTCAAGAACAGAAAAGATGGCGCAGTTTGGGACATTGGAGGCTCAAATCAGCTCGTTAGAAAATTGGAGGCGCCTTTGATCGATGGCTACAAACCACCATTACCGCCGCCGCCGCCATCTCCATCTCCACCACCGTCAACTCTGCTGCCTCCACCACCTCTAGGATCGAAAACAGCAGCGAGAAGAAGATTTTGAACATAAGAGACGCAAATCGAGAAGCTAGAAAGTTGGAGATGCCATTGTCCAATGGCTACAAACCACCTCCGCCGCCACCACCGTTATTACCACCATCATCACCGGAAATTGAAGCAAAGAACGGGGAGAAGTGGGATTCATCAAAGTTGAGTTCTCGGAAGCAGTAGGCGTTTCTCCAAGTTGTGACGGTAACGGACGCGATAACTGCTCCGTTAAAAGACGTAACAGAAAAGGTAAGGCTTTTAGGGTTTTACAAAATTGGGCTTCAAAGAGATAATTGGGCTATAATCAACATTTTGGGCTCACAAAATGCTGGTCATACTTTGTACTCGATGAGTAATGTTTTTAACTCAAGCCCAAGTGTAATTAAATCAGCTACGACGTTGACTATTAGGGTCAAAAAGAAATTAAACCCACGTGCAAATGAGTCAACGGCTTCTCCAATTTGCACATCCGCCTTACCTCTACCACTCGACATTCCATTGATGACCTCCGTCTTCAGCTTGACACCCAATGTTTTAGCGTCGACATCATCGGTTTCCCCAAGGCTCACCCCAGAAACCCTAAGGTTTAAAGACAGGTTTTTGTCTTCCAAAACTCTCACTCAGGTTTTTAAACACCCTCCAACACTGTTAGTTTTTATAAGCAAGTTGGGTTATTGATTCTTGATTTAGTTGAATACAATAGCGGATTCTATCAGTCCGTTACTATTTTCATGAATATACGAAAACTGAAGAATGGGAAACAAGATGTTACAGGGTTTTGTTCAGCAACACTCAATCGTCACCTGTTACATGTGTGTAAAAGCAACATAGGTGGTTATAAGGACAAAGGGTTAGTTGATTTCCTTGTTGTTTAACAAAGCCTAGAGAAACCAAAATGGTTTCAGGATAGTGTACAAGTTTACTTGTTAGTTGTTAGTTGCTAATGTACAAAGGGTTAGTTGATTTCCTCAGGGCATTACTTATTTACTTGTTAGTTGCTAATGTCACAACTTTTGGTGTATTATGCAGTCAAGTGTACAAGTTTTTCTGCGTGAGGTATTATTTCCATTTATTAATCCAAATTGAAATTGCTACTTGCCTGTTTCAATCAGACTACTGATAAGCCCCGACATTTCTGTTATCTTTTTGGCCAGGGGTAGGATGGTCTTTTCTGGTATTATGGCTGTTATTGGCTGTTTTGTTATGTCAAGAGCACTAACTTTGTCCCAGGACTGTTTTAGAGGACCACTCCCTAGAGTCATGTTAGTATTTATATCCTCCTTGAGGTTTTTGTTTAGCAGCTAAGAATTAACTTGTAAGAGAACATTGTTCTTCTTTTGGAGAGTCCATTCCTCTCGAATGAATGGGAATTCTATCCTAATTTTCTGGTATTATTGAGTGTTTTGTTGCTGTGAATCTATTAGAATGCCTGGGGTATACGATAGATTCAACAGGGATCTATCAACTACCACCATAACAAATAACCATTCGATTATGAAGTTAAAAATCCGAATAACCCTTTTTGGTTCCATTACAACAAAAAGGAAAAAAAAAAGACAGTGACTTAACAACAAAAAAACCATCAGGTAACATACATTAAACAAACAGGTAGCGACTGTGAGTCTGTGACCTAACAATCAATAAAAACATATAATATTATTTAATTAAAATAATTTTCAAATCTTATTCGGTTTTCAGGTGGGCCCCGAATAAGTTTTGCCAAACCGCAAACCGATTAAAGTCCCCGGTTAGCCCGCAAACCGAACCCGAAAACCGAATAAGGTTCGGTTCGGGCAGTTTAAACCGAATAATATGTTATGCGATTTAGAAGATATCTTATGTGACAGACTTGTCTCTATGCGCCACTTGGTTTTCAATGATTTGTCTATTATACCATGTTCTTTTTGTTTCTTCCTATTATAACATCATACATACTTTACAGATATGCCGACTTTATTTTCTCAATCAAAAAAGAGAAAAATGTTGTCGGATGTACATTTGGAGAAGATTGTGCACACGTACAACATTGACATTGCCCCCTCCGATTTGGTCTTGGAAGAAAGTCAATCATCAAGTCAATGCATGAGAAATATGTCAGATTCCATTGCATCTGTAGAAGCCATATTGAGGTATAAGTTCAATAACAGAGGTTTGTTGGAAGCTGCCCTAACGCATTCTTCATACACGGAGTCTGAGTCCTACCAACGTCTCGAACTCCTTGGTGATGCTGTTGTTGGAGTTGTGATCACAATTTTTTTTTACTTGGCTTACCCTGATAGTGACCCTGCTCAAATCTCTCTCCTCCGCTCTGCCAATATTAGTACCGAAAAACTTGCACGTGTGGCGGTTCGCAACGGGCTTTACAAATATGTCCGCCACAAAACCATTGTTCTCAATGATAAGGTATTACCTATCTATCTATATACATTTTGTATATTTATTGAGAGAAAATACCAAAAAACCCAACGTATTGTATTATCCCCTGTATATTTACAATCATTATGTTTTCAGATTTTGGTTAAAATAATTGGATAACCCAATAAAACCGGTTGCATATCTTACATGGAATTGAAAAGCTTACATGGCATTTTAATTTTCAGAAACTGTAACTATCATTGCTATTCCACATAAGCTTTTATAATTTTAAATTAACAATACCATGTAGTCTTTTTAACTCCGCGTAAGCTATACAATCGTTTTTCTTGGGTTATCTGGTTACCAAATCTAGAAAATGTAACGGTTTTAATGGATGCTAAAATAACATATTTTATTTTTTTGAGCATCGGCGTTCAGGTTTTTGATATTTTTTCCTATATTTATGCATTTATGCCGTTAAATTTTGTAATTGAAATCTGAGAATATGGTGTTTGTTGGTATTAGGTTAGGAAATTTGTGATTGCGGTGGAAGATGAAGATGAGATGGTGGTGCATGGTGGGCAAATGAAAGCTCCAAAGGTGCTTGCTGATATTGTTGAATCGGTTGTTGGTGCTGTTTATGTAGATTGTGGGTTCTGCTTGCAAAGCCTGTGGATGGTGAGTAGTTGTGATCCTATTCCTATACATCTCAGGTCTTCCATGTATCCTAAGTCCTAACATTTAGCTCTGTCCCAAACTTGCCACTTGACCTCTGTTTCATTTTTATTCAATAGGCTTAATGTTTTAAGACATTAACCCTTTACCTTGATCAGTCTAGAAAAGAAACAAACCTTATGTAAAAGAAATGAACAACCACTAAGCCACAGTTTTGCAATGAGGAAAAGTTTTTTTTTTTTTTTTTTTTTTTCAGATAATTAGAGAGCTACTTGAACCGATGGTTATGCTAGATGTTCTCGAGAAACAGCCGCAGCCTATTACCATGCTATACGAGGCATGCCAAAAAGAGGGGAAATTTGTTGACATAAAGAATTGGAAGAAAGGTTACAGCTTCTCTATAAAACTAATATTATATGCATATAATATGCTAACAGTAACATGCGAATATATTTACACCTTTTTTCAGGTGAGAGAAACATTTCAAGTGTTTATGTAGATGGAAGATTTATTGCCTTTGGGTCTTCAGAGAATAAAGAGAATGCCAAGCTTCATGCAGCTGAGGTTGCTGTATCTAAGTTAACAAGGCTAAAAAACATTGATGCAATAAGTAGCATGATGTATCCTGGAGATTGTTACAAGAGTGAATGCAGCAGGGACATGGAAAATTCCATTGCAGCTGTAGAAGCCATATTGAGGTACAAGTTCAAGAAGAAAAGTTTGTTGGAAGCAGCCCTAACTCATTCTTCATACACGGAGTCTCAATCCTACCAACGTCTGGAAATCCTCGGTGATTCTGTTCTTGGACTCGCCATCACTAATTTTGTCTACTTGGCGTACCCTGAAATTGACCCTGGTCAAATCTCTCTCCTCCGCGCTGCCAATATTAGTACTGAAAAACTTGCACGCGTGGCGGTCCGCAACGGCCTTCACAAATATGTCCGCCACAAAACCATCCTTCTCAATGATAAGGTATTACTTATCTCTTTATTTAAATAAAAACCTAACCTATTATTCCCTAATGCTCAAAAATGCCATTACGTTACTTTTGTGTCTGTCTATTAAAATCGTTATATTTTCGGATTTTCGTTAAAATAATGCTTTCATAGTTGGATATATAACCCTAGAAAACCGGTTGCATGTCCTACTTGTAATTAAAAATCTTACATGACATTTTTGTTTCTGGAAACTGTAACTGTTATTCCAGATAATTGTTACCATTTTTTTTGCAGTAACTGTAATTGCTAATCCGCATACGCTTTATAATTTTAAATTGATAATGCCATGTAATCTCCACGTTGGCTATGCAACCGTTTTTCTTGGTTTATCTGGTTGCAAAGCATTAATTTAACCAAAATCAGAAAATATAATGGTTTTTTGAGCATCAGGGGATAATATGTTGGGGGGGTTTCTGGCATGTTTGTTCCTTTATATTTATACATTTATGCCATTATTTGTTAGATTTTATAATTGAAATTGGATTATATGGTTTTTGTTGTTGTTGTAATTAGGTTAGGGAATTTGTGATTGCGGTCGAAGAAGAAGATGAGATGGTGGTGCACGGGGGACAGATGAAAGCTCCAAAGGTGCTTGCTGATATTGTTGAATCGGTTGCTGGAGCTGTATTTGAAGATTGTGATTTCAATTTGCAAATCCTGTGGGTGGTGAGTGGTTGTCATCCTTGCAAGCTATTGCCTCATTAGATTTTGGAGTGAGAAGCTGATTCCTCTAAACTATGAGGCTGTTTCTTTTTTCACTTAATCTGGACGCTTGAGCCAAAAAACTCAGCTTAATGTTTTAAGACACTAACCCTTTACCTATTCAGTCTGGAAAAGAAACAACACCTTATCCAAACAAACATATTACCCATTCAACCACTTTACACATACAAGTCTTAATGTGCAAAAAAAAAAGGAACAACCACTATGCCATTGTTTCGCAGGAGGAGAATTATCTGTGTAGACTGACCCCAACCTGATAACATAATTTGGTAGCGAATCAAATTGATGAATTACTGACTTTTTGTTTTCAGGTAATTAGAGAGCTACTTGAGCCAATGGTTATGTTAAATGTTCTTGAGAAACAGCCACAACCTATTACCATGCTATATGAGGCATGCCAAAAAGAGGGGAAAATTGTTGACATAAAGAATTGGAGGAAAGGTTACAGCTTCTCTATAAAATGCTGAGTTTTTGCCCTATAAAACTATTATTATATGCATTTGCATCCTACAGATAATGATATGATAGTCTCTTATATATTTGCATCTTTTTTCAGGTGAAAGAAACATTGCAAGTGTTTATGTAGATGGAAAGTTTATTGCCTCTAGCTCTTCAGAGAACAAAGAGAATGCTAAGCTTCATGCAGCTGAGGTTGCTCTATCTAAGTTAACAAGGCTAAAAAGCACTGAAGCAATAAGTCTACAAATGAAAGATGATTCTGGTGAAGCCACTGAGATTAAAGGTGCTAAACAAAAAATACATGAACTTTGTAACAGGAGAAGGTGGCCAAAAGCGACTTACAGGTATGTAAATATTTTGCCTTTATTACTAATTAGATCATTTTGCCTTAATTACAAAATCCATTTAATTTTAATGGTTTTTTTTTTCTTGCAGAGTTGAGCAAGAATCGGGTCCTGCACACAATAAAAGATATATAGCATCCGTGCAAATTGAACTTTCTGGTAAGATATTTTTCATGAAGGGAGAAGAGAGGTCAAAAGTCAAGGATGCCGAAAATTCTGCAGCTTCATCTATGTTTTATTCTTTGCGAGAATTGGGATATTAATGAATGTCTGAAAACAAAAACTCACATATGCATCTAACATTTGCCGCATCTGATTGTCACAAGAGTAGCAAGTAAAAACTCCAATAAAATATATATTTGTTTATAAATACTAAAAAGGACACCAGATACAAAAAGGAAAATCATATCCGTTCTAACGACTTCAATATGGAACCGAAAAGTCCAAATCTTTTTTTTTTTAGAAACGGTGAGATATATAAACTAACGAGATATATAAACTAACAAGACATCACGACTAGCAAGGAACTAGAGCGTGGACCGAAACAAGATACAATTACATGCAAAGAAACTGCGAAAAACACAAATCCTGCCAATTACTAGGATTCCTTACCTCCCCTATGCTTAAACCAAATGAAAGATAAAGAAATTACATTATCCACAATATTGGTAGGGGAAGAAATAAGGTTTTCAAATACCTTGTTATTTCTCAACTACTAGACACCACCACAATGAACAGATGATTGACGTGAAGAGTTTGTGTTTTCTAGGGCACATAGTAGCGAACAGGGCCGATCCTATGGAATTCCATGCACCGAGCAAATAGAGAAGACGGTGCCCTATTTTTATACCATGTTAATACAATTCCCAAATTTTATAACATAATCTTCTAAAGCAACTACTTAAAAGAACTTTTTGTTAGATTACTTATTCTCACAAAGTACAAACTAAATGTTACAAAGCAATTCTTGAAGCAAAAACATTAATTATCCTATGATAATAGTAAAAGTTGCATTCTGTTCAACATAACCCAAAACCTTAAATTAGAAATCGTTAATGAGAGTTAAAAAGTTTCATTTGTTGCATCAATATATTATCTATATAATTTATTATAATCCCATAAGCAATATGATGTTTAATAGGATTATATATATAAAGATTCTATATCTTTCAACAATTTTTTAATGACAAATGAGAACAGAACTAAATAAATCAAAATGAATTTTTCTATAAACTAAAGAAAAAAAAACATTTATGTGTAATCGGAAATAAAACAATAAATTTCAACAAAACATATGAAAAAATGATAAGTTAATTAACCATATCAAAAAATGATAACCTTGTGTAGTTTCCTGTAAAGCAAAACTAGCAAAACAACAAAAAAAAATTATAGAAAAACAATAAGTGTCGCCTAAAACTACTCAATCAAGAAGAAGAAAAAAATGCTCAATGGCGTACTGCAAGTGTCCTAAACGCAGGAAGGGTTCTAGAAATCAAAATCAATATTCAAAAGAAAAAGAAAATCCTGAAATCAGAATCAACAGTCATTGTTAACAATATCCCAAAAATCAGAATTCTGAACTAACGAAATTATGGAGATTAACAGAAATCAAAATCAATTCAGAACCAATATTAACAATACTTAATCAAAATTAGTGCAAAACCTATGTTAACAATACTACAATAATAAAAAAAAGAACTAATATTAACAATACTTAATGAAAACAGCTGAAATCAACTGTTGCTGTCTAATTCTGCTTCATGCGCTTTGGACTTTCAGTTAACCAGAAAACTAGTAATATCAGATTTGAACTCAAAAACCAGAAGAAGAACTGGGCTTTCTCGATAGTTTAAAGCTATAAAGGGACTAAGGGAGAAGATGAACTAAAAAACTGAAATAAGAAAACAGAACTACCGTTGATGTTTAATACTGCTCCAGGTCTCCTCGTCTTCTCTGATTCTCCTGACTCTTGGAATTAGGCGTGTCGGGTGCGTTCACCAAGAAAATTAAGGCGTTCTTTTTTTCCCCGCCCGACTTTTGCCTTCTCGAACCTCAAATCGTGCCCTTGTTAGGAAATAGATGTCTTGGGCCTAAATGAAATGCATACCCAAAAGAAGAAAGCAAAAGTTGATGCCCCTATGTCCATTGATGCCCTGGGCAGTGGCCCAGCTCGCCCTGCCCTTGGGCCGACCCTGGTAGCGAAATCGAGAAGTTCCACAACACGAGTGAATTGTTGCAACGCCATTTTAGCACCCATTTTATGACCTAGTCAGCAAAATCACATATGGTTAAAATGTTGTCCACATATTCAATGAGAGTAAAGCTTGCATAAAGAAGATTAAATGTCCGCACCTCTAGTAATGAGTGTCTCGGTAGAGCCAGGGAGTCTTCCAAGGCAAGCCCTCCACATAAAACATGTGATTTTCAAAGAAACTACTTTATCCATCTGATATGATTAGCATCGGGGGCTGTGCAATAGGAATCCAAGTACCATCGCAAGACGTTGACTTTGAAGCAATCATTCGGGGATAAGTTAACATGCATTTTGAAATACTTCCACTTAGATTTTGAATCCCCCTAACTTCCTATGGTTGATTTATTAGAACTGCAATAGATTTAACAAGCTTATTACCAATTTTATAATGACTAGTTACCTTGATCCGATTAACTAATATTATTAATTATGAAGTAACTAACACATGGATCATGCGATTAGCTAACTAAATATCAATTAAATATTCGAGTTATGAGTGAATTGATCTAGTGATTTCTAATCGATGGTCATGACAATTAATCGAAACATGTCATGGATATCTAGTACTCTCTCACACATTTAAGTTTACAATAATATCGAATTTGGTCCATCACTAGTCTCAACCCTTTATTTTTCATAAATCCGTTAAGTTACAAGTCAATAAAATTAGATTTGTCCTCATAACTATATCAAACTCAGTTGTAGGCAATAAAAATCTAAACGTTAAGGTGAAACGATCAATCAAACAAACTACATAACCAAACTTTATAAATCCAACTAATAAATCAAATCATATTAGTTAGAGTTAATCTACATCTAAGCGGAAGTAAAAAGGGTATTTGCCATAATCATTGTTGGAAAACAAAAAATAATCAAATAAGAAGTGTTAAACATGGTGTCTAAAGAAAACCTAACGATTTTAGAACGTTTCCAAGCTTTAACTTTCAAAACGATGCTAAAAAATTGTTCTTCATCCTTGATTTCGACTAAAAAAGGTGTTAGACGAATTACTTTTCGTATTTGAGGGTTGGTATCTCCAATATTTTTCAACATATTGATTAGAATGGAAAAAATCATGTATTTATAGAATTCAGAGATGTCGCATCGCGTGCATGTATTTTCTGTGTTGTTGAGCATATTGTGCCCCGATCCTGCTCGAACTCTAAAGCTAGGTCGTGGCACTACATGCTCTTTGTCGCGTCGCGGTTTCTCGAATTTAGGAAACTTTTTATCTTTATCCATATCAACTCCATTCTTGTCCTAATCTTTTCCTTTTTCTTAGCAGCTATAATTTTAACTATATTTATCCAATTCAAAGCTTATTTGTAACGTATGTAGATTTGGGCTAAACATATAAGATATAATAGATAATCTTAGCTAAAGATGTAGTAGCCGTAATGACTATCCTGTGGATATAAGGAACGCTTAAATCCAACTTCGTATAAAAAAGTTATGCTTCTTCGAAGTTTTGTGATTAAACCGACACAACTCTGCATGCCATAAATAGTGAATCGGAGATAGGTTGGTTATTAGCCATGCAATGTAAACGATAGTAGTAGTAACTATAAAAGAAAATTCGTGCATATAGAGAACACCGAAATCTGACTTCATATGAGGACGTTATGATTTTTCGAAGTTTTGGTATAGTAGTGTGCGATACAGAAACCGAGTTTTAGATCGGTCGATTGTTAGGAAAAACAATCTAAACAAGGATCGAAGATCTCTTGAATAGGAATTTGTCAATACAAAGATCGTCGAGAACAACGGAGGTCGTATGAGAGAGTTATGATTTTTATACGGACTTTAACAGTCTAAACATGTTAAAAATATAACTTTAAAAATAAAGTAAGAATTAGCCAACAGAGACTAAACGAAAGTTGCAGTACTTGTCAAAAGGTACGCATGGATCTAAAGAATGTCAAAACGGAGCTCGTATGAAAAAGATATGAATTTCTGAAAGATACTAAGTTTTCGCGTACACAAACGAGGTGCGCATTGACAAGAGGACGCGGATTTTAACACATGTCACAAAGCCAGAGGAGCGACGTCATCTGATAGGCACGAAATGCCTAGAAAGATGCATGACACGCCCTCCCTGTGACCCTATATATATGTTTCGATTTTGGCCTATTTTCCCACTCATTCACTCCGCAAACCTCTGGAATCTCTTCCTTACCCATATCCCCTATACTCCCTAATTCCCCGCTACTTTAGCAAGGCTCTAGAGCGTCTGAGAGCTTGGAGAAATATGTCTTTCAATTTCGGAGTTATGCTTGCGTAATTTCGTGGTTTTCGCTAAAATTTATGTAAGTTAAGCTATAATTATTTTATTTCAAGTGTACCTTATATTTATGTTTATAGTCATTATTATGAACCTATAAATAAGATTTATCAGTAATTACAAGTCATAATACTGATTCATTTACTTAAAGGAATGATGTCTAGGCTAGATTTAGTGAGGTGTGTTTAAAGTAGGATTTCCAAATAGTATACTCGTGCATACCAAACGAACCCTACCTCCGATATGATCTTACTTGGGTTTTCCTTATCAACTATAGATCCATAGACATTGGGATTATTGAGGAATCTAGAATATCATTAGTCACAACAATACAAGACTAAGACCTAGTGCTATCTATACCTTGGTCCCTTAAAAAGAAAAGCTAAAGTACCAGATGAAGCGTTGTCCGAATTTCAAGTCATCCACTTTTAACAAGTGAGTACATACTTACTTTCAACTTATACATAGATATCAAGTATTTAATGCTTAATTGCCCTATATGCTTATTATTTTTGTTCATGATATCTATGTTAAATGAGATAATGATTTTACTAGAAATAATCATATATGTATTTTTACCATACTTATAATGCATTGGGTAAAAAGGGTTGATAAGAAAGAGATAATATAATGGTAGAGACCATGCCCAACCTAGTATTACTGTATTAATGGGACCAGAGAGAGGGAGAAATGAGATAATGGTGAGAGACCATGCCAAAGATAAAATAATGGTGAAAGATCATGCCCAACATTATACTATTGTACTATAGAGAGCAGTCATCTAGCAGAGTAATGATAATG